ATTAAAAACTACGGAATTGAAATATGAGAACAAATTATGTAGTCAAATTTCTAACAACTTAACAATTATTTAAACAAGAATTAGAAAATCATTAACCCATGATTAAAATCAATCATTAAAAAAAAGTAAGCAATTATATTCTAATGATGAGGCAATAAAAATGAAAATACTCATAAATTTTTTAAAGCTTCTTATAACCATGTAAAACTACCATCTCTAAAAACCACGCAGAGGGGAGAGATAAAAATCATGCAGATTATATACCAGACAATTATACATAAACCATGCAGAAACAAAAAAAGTATAAAACCATACAAAACCACCTAAATGCAAAACCAAAATCACGCTGGTAGGGAACGAAACTAAGAAAACTTCCTGTAAACCAAATTTTTTTTCCTCGACCTTACTGATTCAAACCTAATAAACTTACTGCGCGCAATTAAATAGATAGATTATCAGCCTTTTTCGTAACAGACAAATGTAAATAGTAAACAAACTGAAGGTGGGAAAAAAATGACAGTAAACAAACTGGAAAAAAAATATATGATTCTCAAATTTCCCGAAATGAGAATTCGATTTAAGCTTGTTGGGGAAAAATTAGAGAATCAAAGTAAATCAAATCAAAACAAAAGGCTCGTGTTTACACGGTTTCCTTAAATCGAATTTGCCGCCTCATCGGGGTGCAAGATGTTTTGATTGGTGTTCGATTCTTAGGATACAATCGATTGTCGATTCACGCTGCACAACGTTACCCGCCTATGAACTAGCTGTGATATACTCTATCTCTCAAAGAAATCAGAAAAGAAAAATTTCGAAACCGGAAAGACGAAGATTGTTACCGGAAGAAATAGCTTGTATCTCTCTTTGCTTGAAGCTGTATCTCACACTTGCATTTCTTCCAATCGAGAGATCCTCTATTTATACCCATAGAAGAAGAGTGTGTTCATTAATACAATTAACATTGAAGGTAAATTTCTAAACTGAAGAGGAACAACTGAAGTGGAACGGATGAATAATTTCCATAAATTCTGAAACTGATGATCATAAACGATGAAACTGATTTTCATTCAATATCATAATTTTCCAACAATAAATAATGTTCATAAGTAGTTGTTCAGCACTTCAATCAATTGAGAGATTTGCATCCTCAATTTGTGAAGACTGATGAGTAATTTGGTAGAATTTAATTAATTAATTGGAATGAATAATTTCCTAATCGGGTATTGAGTTTAATTGGATGGAATATTGGATTTTCAGGATGCATTAGTTTTAAAATTTAGAATATATAGTTTATGGTGTGTTTGAGCCACATTATTTTGGGAAAATGTATTTTGAAATAGTAGATTGATTGAGAATGTGTGGTTGAAAAAGAAGGAAAAGTTATTGATGTGATGAAAAATATTATTTTATTGAAAAATGTGTTGTTGAAAATGAATAGAAAAATGAGAATGAATGGAAGAATGTATTCTGGAATAGCAGATTGATGGAGAATTTGTGGTTGAAAAAGAAGGAAAAGTTATTGATGTGATGAAAAATATTATTTTATTGAAAAATGTGTTGTTGAAAATGAATAGAAAAATGAGAATGAAAATTTTAATGTGGCTCAAACAGGGGCTAATTTCAAAACTTCTTGTTATACAATTTTTCAAAATTTAAACTTAATCCAAACCACTTCGAAGTCGTTTGAATCGAATTAAAATCAAAACCTTGATAGATCCACTTGAATCTAAATCAAAGATTTCGAAAAAACGATTTCAAATCAATTTTTTAATTTGACGATTACGTTGTTCAGCCATACATAAATTATGCAGGAATTCAGGTTGAACTTATGCAAGTATAGACTAAATTCACGCTGGTACCCCACATGGGAAGTCGGACGAAGTTTCTACCTTTAAACATGATAGACGCAATGCGGTTGTGCGGTTCTTGCTCGACATGAAAAGTTTCGTCCGAGACAAAGAGGCACAAACATTGCGACAGAATTGATGTGTAAATGAAAAACAAATGCAGGAATTATTAATTAAATCAAAGTGAAAAGTCTAGGTCTTCGTCTATTTTTTCCTCAGATTCTTTTAAGGTCTTTTTCAGTAGTAGCCCACAATACGCGGGATGGAGTGTAAATTATAGATGCGGGTCGTAGTCATGATGCCAATTTTTGTGGAGGAATATCACATCTTCACAAAATATCCAAATCGTCTATGTCAAATAAAAAGACCATTCTTAATGTTTTTTCTTTTAAATCATGTTTGGAGTACATCTTCTTTTACACCTTAGTTGACACAATATCATATGACATTCTCTCGTTGAACAGTTTAAACAAAAAAATAATTTTGCAATCAATGATTTTTTGACAACACTGCAATTGTTAACAAGGATGACAAAAATGGGTGTACAAAATGGTATAATCCTTTTTTTTTTTTTTTTGGGGAGTTGGGTCGGGGTTGGGTGTTTGCATCCACGGTGCATCAACTCTTATTGTTGAAGTTGAAGAAGATGATAAATGCATATGGTAAATTATCTTGGCCAAGAGGACTGTCCATCTTGGTCCACGTGTCAATCATCCTCACCGTCCCTTTGTGCTTTTTGGGTTGCATTAATTTGTTAGTAAAAGAGATGTCAATAATATATTGGTATCAGAAAAATTTGAACAAAGTATGTAAATGTCAGAATTTTCAGTCAATTATCTGTATTGTTAGTATTCGAACGATTCGAAGTGAACTATAATTTGACATCCTCTCTAAATACACACAATTTTAGGAGTTAAAAGATTGCTTGTGCAAGGAGATGATTTCTCATTTGAAAGAGTGTTATCTATTGTTGGAGTAGGGATTAGTTATGGTATTTGTCACTTGTTTTATGTCCTATGTGTCATTAGAATTTTTTTTTTCCCCACTTTTTAAGAAATTGGAGTATATTGACTTGATTAGAGGAACTTATTCAGTGGGGGAACTCTTCATTGGCTGCTCGGACGCTAAGAAACAGCGGAAGTGGTGAATCTAGGTGTGGGGGACGAGAGATGGGGGTAAAGATTGAGGAAGAAGATAACACGAATAATGACAGTTTTTTGCACATTTATTTTCTTTATTTAGCTAAGCATACAATGTATCCCAAATGCCATCAAATATTTAAATTACATCCACAATATAAAAACAAGATTGACATCGTATAGAGAAGCAAATGAAGTAATTACATGGTTTAAAGTGTTTAAACTGGCAATACAACTTCTTCTTTAAGGATTTCAAACCACAAATTTAACCAGACTACTAAACTGGAACAGTCCTGTGGGAAGGAGCAGTCTGCTCTGTTATATCATCAGCATCCAATTCATTTTCACCTGATGCCTCCTCCAGTGATTTTCCATTCGCTTCTGGCACTAAGAAAGTGAACAACATTCCCAATGCATTGACGCAGCCGAGTACAATGAGCGAATATTTCACACCAATGCCTGCTGGATAGCCAGCATCTCTCTTGCTCGGATCTTTAGGCTGTGATGCATACAAGAAACCAAATGCTCCTACAATAGCACCAGCCTTTCCAGCTGCAGCAGATATGCCGTGGCAGGTTGATCTTAGTCGGGCAGGGAAGATTTCTGCTGGGACAACAAACGTTGTTGCATTTGGGCCGAAGTTGGAGAAGAAAAATGTCAGTGAATATATAACTACAAAGCCAATTCTGTTCTCTTTCCAGTGATTATAAGGAATAGCTAGTGCAAACATGAAGACGGTCATGAAGAAGAATCCCATAAGTTGGATGGCAAATCTTCCAATTATATCAATGAATGCTACCGTAAACCAGTATCCTGGGACAGTACTGCAAAGCGCGATTAGTGTCTGTGCTCTGGCAATACGATAAACTTCATGCACAGCATTCATTTCTTCGGCATGGGGAATCCATCCTATTGCGGAAAATATGTCCTTTTGGAAAAGATTGTTGCTGTAGAAAGCTATGTCCAGCAGGAACCATGTTGTGGTGGTGCCTAACAGGTGAAGGCCATGACGGCGAAGGAATTCCCTTGAAAATAAGCCAAATGAGTTTGCTGGCCTCTCAGCTATTTTTTCTAATTTCTCCTCTTCGGCTTCAATTTCAACATTTAACACGTGGGCCATGTCTTGCGCTGCCTGTTTTGCATTTTTGGCTACAAGGGCCGTGTAACGGGCTGTTTCAGGCATCTTCATACGCCAGTAGAAAGTGAGTGCAGCTGGGATGGCTCCAAACATTAAAATAATGCGCCAAATATAGTCGGCTTGTGGCACCGTCGAGAGTGCCGCATTCTCCTTGTACGTGGGAGCGTTATATGCATGATCAAATGATGCAGAGACAATAAGAGACACAATTCCACTAGTCAGAATCCCGAATCCTTGCATCGCGAAAACTGCAGCTATGAAGGCACCACGTGTCTTTTTATTGGCGTATTCAGACATGATTGTGGCGGAGAGAGGGTAATCACCACCAATCCCAAAGCCCAGCCAGAACCTGAAGAAACAGAGGGTAGCCATAACACCCTTAGGTGTCGACCCAAATGAAAATCCCGAGGCAAGTGAGCATACAACCATGAGAACTAAAGTAAGACCATAAACTTTTTTCCGTCCCATCTTATCGCCTAGCCACCCAAAGAATAGCTGCCCCAATAGCGTGCCAACCAAAGCAACACCGATGACAGAAGACGAAACACCAGGAGGTAAAGTTCCAGGCTTTGGTGCCCCATCGTGCGTGTAGTATATGCGTCCCAATAATTTTGTCACCAAAGAAATGGCGAACAGATCATATGCGTCTGTGAAGAACCCCATTCCTGCTATAACAATAGCAGTAAAATGGTAGAGTTGTGTCTTGGCTACATCAAGTGCATTAAGCACTTGCAATTGTTCTCTTGCCATAATGTAATTTGCTGATTAATCTTCTCCCAGTAGACTTCAATTCTATCAGAAAAATTAAATCATATTGATTGCAATTGTTCTCTAGGCATACTGAAATTTCCTGCTTAATCTTGCCCCAGTAGACTTCAATTCTATTATCAAAACCAAATCATATCAGTAAATTACACTGTTCAAAAAGCATAACAATCTAAAAACTACATTTTAAAAATACAAAATCGAAGTCATGGAAGATAAGTTAAAACAGCTTTGCTTTTATCTCTATAAGAACGGTGTGTTCATGCATACTTGTGCTAATGTTTTGACACAAAACTGGGGTCTAATTAAAGCCGAAAATCGATCAAAAACAAAAATGAATATATCTCAAATTTTGTGCAAACAAAAAACATCATCGAACACTTTCAAGATACTAGGATAGTAAGAACATTTCAAGATTTCATTTGACTTCTGGTCTAGACAGGAAAGGAGCATACCGCCAAGCACAAGAGGGAAAGAAAGAAAATAAGCTTGATAATGAGGTGTGGGAGATAATTCGTGTTGGTATTTAAGTGGAATTTGAACCGGAGACCCCAAGAAGCAATATGTGCGAAATTTCCAGGTATATACCCATTTTGCTTCTTTCTTGTGTTTACTTAGCAATATGTGCGAAATTTCCAGGTAATAGCATTAATAAATCTTGTGACGTTGTGAAACTTCAAGGAAAGCAGTTAGTTTTTGGTTTCTTGAGGATTGAATTGCATTGTAGTCCTTGAACTTTAGGTCAATATTCATTTTAATCACCAATCTTTTGTGAAGTATAAATATTTTGTTACATTCACTGTTGGAGTTGATGGCATTCAACTACACTTCTTATGACCAGTTTTATAACTCCCTAATTGCAACTTACTGTATAGGTATAGCCATGAATTCGCTTAAAAGCTAGGTTCTAACACAAGGGGTAAAAGGTGATGTGGGCCACTAGGTTTATAGAAACAAAAGATATTAGTAGTGGTTCGAGAGTTTGGTGTAGAAGGGCTCTCTCTCAATTAATCAAGGTACACTAAGGATAACACATGTTAATGATTCCCAAAAGCTCTTATCGGTGAACAATGACTCAACGTGTTTTGGGATTGAAGAAGTTTCCAAGAGCTCGGTTTTTTGTCAACTCAAATGATCAATTGATGAAGCCAATCGTTGAAATTTATAGTTTATGAATACACCAAAAATACAAAATAGTGATCAAAACGAAAAATAAAAATAAATAAATAAATTTGATCTCATAAATATCGTATTTTTTTTCTTGCAAAGTAGAGTACGAAATGATAAGCATTTTACCGTACGATAATTTTTATAGAGTAGATTATGGTATACAGTATGTATCTGACGGGTTATTACATTAATGTTTCGTAATTTAGTATTAAAAGCGATGTAATTGGAAAAATATTATAATTTATTTATTATTATTATTATTTTTTTTTTTTAACGAAGTAGAGTACGAAATAATATGTGTCCTTGTAGCCTTGATCCAATCACCATCCCGAGGTCGTCCTTGATACTTATTTTTATTTGCATTTTCAACTGTTACCTACGCATGGGTCCTCGCACATGGAGTTCCAATCCATTATAATTTTCACGTCCCAACCACAATTGAAGTTTTGAGATTATTAGAAGTCCAATCCTATTTTGTTATTCTAGTGTTATGAAGGTGCCCTAACCCTTAACCTTTTTGCAAGTAATTCGAAGGTTCTGATCGTGCTCATCTCTTGTGAATTCCCAATTCGAGATAGAGTATATTAAAGTATGATTTTGATAGCATCATTGCACCATCTATAGGAAGCTCTACTAAAAGTCATTATTGACACACGATCAGGACGTCATGCTTCAAGGTCTAAAACCCATTTTATTTTCAAACTTAAGCAACGAAAAGGTTACGAGAACGACACACTTAACTTTTTTCTGTTAATTCAAAGGTTTTGATCGTGCTCATCTCTCATGCATTCCCAGTTCGAGATTGTAAATCTCATGATAGGGCTTTTGGTTAACATCAAAGATAATTTTGCAAAAATGAAACTCAAAGGAATTGACGGCATATTATTGTGCTTGTAGTCATTACATAGTGAACATAGTTTGAGCTATTAATGAACTCCTATTTCATCTATAACTTCATTTTTAGAGGGTTTTGGACGTCCTCTATATATATTTAGCTCTTCATTATATTTTAGATTAAGTTAGGCAAATCATAAATACAAAATCTTTGTATTCTTTCTCAATATTATAATAAAATTTACATTCTCTGAAAATTAGATTTTGTTTGTATTTTTGTGATCTTTATTTTATATTGTACCTATAATCTCGTATTTTCTTCACCAAATTGGTCTTAGAGGAATTTAATATCATCTTCGTTTTCAACAAATAGGTATCAGAGTCAAAGGCTTGAAAATTCTTAGGAGATCGAGGTTTTAATCAAGTTAAGAGATTAGCCTGATCTTTAGTAATGGCAACTTTGAAGTACGATATTCCACTATTAGATCGCAATACAAGATTTTCTTAGTGGCAGGTAAAGATGCGAGCAGTACCCTCTCAAATGGATTTGGACGACATGTTATTGAGATTTGACAAGATGCCTATAACTTGGATTTCAGAGGAGAAACAACGGAGGGATCGAAATGCCCTATCTCAAAATACATCTTCATCTTTCAAATAATATTCGTCACGACGTTTTGAAGAATAAGTCAGGCGCTGCATTATGGATAAAATTGGAACAATTATGTGTGACGAAGAGTCTTACTAGTAAATTGCATCCGCATGAAATCTTATAACATAAAGTACGTCTTTTAAGGATCACCTAGTTGCTTTTAAGGAAATTGTCGTTGATTTAGAGACATTAGAGATCAAATATGATGCATAAGATTTGGGGTTGATTTTATTATTTTCATTGTCCACTTCATATACATGCGTTTTAGAGATATGATTTTATATAGTCGTGATACCCTCATCATCGAAGAAGTCTATTGTACTCTATATTCAAATGAGAAGATAAAGCATCTTGTTGTATCAAAGGTTTATGAAGATAGCCTCATTATTGAAAGTGGTCGTGCGAGGGGTAAGTCAAAATCTAACTTCAAATTTTGTAATTATTACAAAAAAAATGGACACTTGATAAACAATCGTTATAAATTGCAAAATAAAGCAAAATTGACTGCAAATCAACAATCGGAAACTTTAGGAGAAGCAAGTATTGTAGAAAATCTTAACAGTGATGGGAGCTTTTACTTGTAACTACAACTCTAAACCTGATGAAGCGGTATCCACTTTTCATATGTGTCTCAATTGAAATTTGTTTTCAACATATGAAGAAGTTTCAAAACGGGTTGTGAAGATCGGTAATAATATACCTTGTCGGACAATTGGTATTGGTCTGGTCAAAATAAAGATGTTTGATGAGACGGTTAGAATACTTAATGCAATGAGAAACATTTCAAATCCGAAGAGAAAACTTATTTCCTTAAGTACTCTTGATTCGAAAGGGTACATGTGCATTGTTAAAAGTGGAGTTTTGAATGTTAATAAAGGAGCTCGTATTTTGTTAAAGTGGCATAGAAAATCCTATTTATATAGCTTGCAGTGTTACACACAATTTTTGAGCAATCAGCATATTTTAAGAACTCAGGTGAAGTTGGACTTGGATTCTATACCGTTGGAGTCTAGTTTTGAGTCTCTTTAAAGAATACATCTTAGTTGAATTTAGAAGTTGTGATTAAATCCACCTTGCCACCATTATCGACAATATCATTGTATTCAGTTGCTAGTCACATACCCATTTTTGACCTTAAGACTCCACATAGGTAAAATTCTTCTGATTTAGTTGATGGCTTGTTTCAGCTTTATTTGGTGATCATTACATCTCTTTTGCCCCTAATTGGGGTGGTGAGGTGGAGAATATGTTTAGTTGGAATTTTTTTATGAAGAATTTCGTTTGTATTTTTTTTTATTGAAGAATTCAAGTTTATTCCTTGCAGTGGAATTTTTTTTCCAAATGGAGAATTTTTAAAGTTTACTCATTGCAGTGGAATTCGTGTCAATGTGGAATTTGTTAGAATTGGAATTAATCTGTATTCTTTGTTTAAAATAATTGAGAGTTCTAATTAAAGTCCATGTTAAGAGGAATTCTATGTGGAATGTTTTTGGAATCATATTCGAAGTCTATTGGCAAATTCTAGTTGAATTTCTATTTGGAATGCCAATTGGTAATTTGAATTTGTGTTAGATTTGAAAATGTCAAAATATGGACATGGGAGAAAAGTCGTCGCAATTTCGCTAGCTTGGCGCTCGAGCGACGTCATCAATATTTTCAATAGAAACTTCGTGCCCGCCGACACTCGAGTGGCGGAGCTGCCGCTTGATTGGCATTGGCTTGGTGCTCGAGCAGTGGGCTTATCCAGGTCCAATTTGGTTTCGCGTTTTTGACACATTTTAGCATTCTATTTCATCTATAATTCTACATTTAAGATTTTGGACGTCTCCTATATATATTTATTTGTTCTCTATTTTTTAGATTAAGTTAGACAAATTATAAACACAAAATCTTTATATTTTTTTAATTTACAATAAAATCTCCATTCTCTGCTAATTACGTTGTTCTTTTGTTTTTGTGATCTCTATTTCATATTGTGCCCATAATCTTGTATTTTTTTTTCAACAAATTGGTATTAAAGAAATTTGATATCATTTCGTTTTCAACAAAATATAGTTTTTTGACCATCAAAACTTACTTTTATTTAATGTTCTGCGTAAATGCTTATCCTAGATGGCTTTAGTGAAAGAATTACACAAACCGAATTTTGAAATTACGAGTGTAAAAATAATAATAATAAAGGATGCCATTTCTGATATAAATTAAGAATATGTTCATTTGTCCTCTAATAAAAAGGTTGCCAAAAATCATAAAGACTTGGGTATTTGCTTTATGTTTCTTCGAAAATCCTCTATGAAAATGGAGGTCAATCAGCCAATTAGATACGGTT